CCCGGCGGCGCGGAGAGGGCGGCCGAGGCGGCGACCGAAGGCAGCTGCGGGGACGGCCACGGCCGCGGAGGAGGCGGGGGCCGGGGAAGAGGCGGCGCTCATGGGCACCGAGGAGGCGGGGGCCGGGGCAAGCGTGAACCTCGAGGTCGCGGGGCGGCGCCGCCGCCCGCCGCCCACCAGCACCGACGGGTAAGCGGGAGAGCCCGCCCTCCGCGGGTGCGGGGGGAGGCGGGGCCGAGCGCGGCGGGGGCACAATCCTTCCTTCTCCTGCCCTGTTCCTGCCCTTCTCGAGGTGGAGCCAGGGCGGGGGCTGCGGGCGGCTCCCGCAGTCTCTCTCGGGTGTCTGAGGCTGCGGGGCCGCGGGAGCGGAGGGCGGCGGGGCTGGCAGCGTTACCGGTCAGCGCGGTACCTGCGGCCGTACCCTCCCCGGCACCTCCCTGCTCCGCTGCAAACGTGGGTACGGGTTTCCCGGCAGGAATACGTTTATAATTTTGTGCTGAAAAATACAAGTCTCGTTTAAAAAATGCATCTGAAAAACACATCTCTGTTTGCAAACAGAGACGAGGAATTGCTGAGCGGTTTTGGCACAGTTGTTGTTGAAATGAGCATGTGTCTTGTCCAGCCTGTGGTAGGAGCAGCAGAGAACGCGGTAACACAGCTCATCTCACAGCGCTGGTGTCTGTGACTCACTGGAACACGTGTTTGTCATTAATGCACGTTGATGGTTGTGCTTTGACCAATTACAAAGTGTTTGCGCAGATTAAAAGTAGCATAGACATGCCAAAGTGTACCACAACTACACCTTTCGTTTCCTGTGGAGATGTTAAAATGCTTCCTATGAACCACCATGGTATGAGATCAACACTGAGCCTTAAAAAAACATTTCCATTTATAAATGCTTTAACAGTACCACATACAGATTGTCCTGCTTCCGTTAGCGTTGCTGCAACAGAGAAATCATGGTTGTCCCTGGATTGGCAAAAAGATTATGATGATGACCTAATATTGATTGGTGTTGGCAGCAGTGGGAGTCCTAATGCAGATAGACCAGCTGCTACCCCATTTTCAGCATCACATTGATTAAATTTACTTTGATTTTTATGATGCCATGGCTTCAATTGGACCTAGCCAGTGTTTTATTTATACTAGAACTCCCATGGTTGCTGGTGGTTTTTAAAAATGTGAAATATTCTTCCCTCTTGTCATTGTATTTAGATACATTTTAGCACTTGTATTTTGGGAGACAGAAGGTGCAGCTGGATTGGTACTGTTACCTAGAGTGCTGGTTGGTAATTTCACTTGTAAGCTATATAAATTGCTGATTTCATACAGGTGTGTGCAGATGGGTTTGGATTCTGGATGTGAAACAATCCTGCCCTCTCATAAGCCACAGAGGCAAAGGGGGGAAACCAGCACCTGTATTAGCTGACCAAACTTTTATCCTGGACAGATTTTTTTTTTTCATGTCATTCAACCCTTTCTTACTAAATTGAAATACATTTATCTCTGTGTTCCATCTGGTACTGTTGACCCAGCAGGACCTATTTAATAATTTAAAAGGTGCACTCAGGAAGGGAGTCATGTTATATGTATGCATTACTGTCTGGTTTGTTGTTTGAAGTATTTCAGGAAGCAGTTAAAATTTTTTATTTTGGGACAGCTTACAGTATGTTTTGCCTGGTCACTGTGTTACTGACTTGGATGTGCTTTTCATCTTAGTCTAGCACAGTGACAATTTATTTTTGGCTAAGGCTGATGTGGATTTGGTCTTCAAAAGCAAAACAATAGCTAGGATTTTCCCAGAACTCTACTAAAGGGTGTTTAAGCGTAATGCTTTTCCTGCACTGGAGGCTTTTGATGCTAAGCACTGTCTGGTCTGAACACACCTGCCACAAACCTTGTGTTTAGCAGCTTGGAGGGGACTGGCTCCCAGCAATCTGGCCATAGCATCAACAGCTGTGCCAGCCTGCAGCTGCTGATGCCTAGTGTTACCTCTGGGTCAACCTCATCATTCACCACTTCTGAAACAGGGAGGACCTCCTTCGTGTTCTTCTTTCTTCCATCTGTGTGGTCAGACAAGATCCCTTGTACTGTCTTTGATGTGTGCTAGACCACGTTGTGAGAACAGATTCAGCTCTCACTTGGCAGGAAATTACCCCCTTTTATTCCCAGTTCCTTAGTGTTCTTTCTGTTTCGCAAAGGGACTTGTTTTACACACCCTCAGTGAGAGGGTGCTTGGCCCAGAGCAAGTGGTTTGTGTGAGAGGAGACCCTGCTCTCTCTCAGCATAAGGGGTCAGAGCTTCTCAAGTGGCGATGTGTAAATTGCAAACCTGGAGAGCCAAGTAATAATAGGGGGAATGTGAGTGGTCTGATCATGTTGCTTTTACTGTGTGCTGAGAAACTGGAGTCTTCTCTGAAAATCTTCTTTCTTTTTTCAAATGGGCCTTGAAATTCCCTGGAGAAGGGAAGCTAAAAACACTGTAATTTTGTAATATACAGATTTTCCAAGGACAATTCTGGGCCTTTTGCCTTCTAGGGTAAAAATTGTGGAGGATTACACTCTGCATTTCCACTCTGCTGGTGTCAAATCGGCGTTTTGGAGGAATTTTCCGACTAGGTTGGAATCATTATAGCATTGTATAATCAGGATTTACATGACCTGGTATTATTTCCTGAAAATAATTTTAAGTCTAGGTTCTTATATAGTTTAAAAGCTATATTAAATTTATAATTTTATTTATTTATACCCCATTTGTTTATAAAACTTTTGCTGCTAACTTGATATTTAAGTAATTCTTTATTGTTGGAGCTTTAGTTGTTGCCTCGGAAGTTTCTGCTTTATTGTGTCTTCAATTATGAAAAGCTTTATGACAAAATCTACATCAAATTGTATTAAACTAACTGAATTTGGATGTGTTAAGCCTGCTATAGACAGAGCAGTAAAATGCAAGTCAAATTGTAGGTGAATTCACTAAATTTTAGTAACAGAGCTAATAAAACCAAACTTCATTAAAAACTCTTGGAAATACTTAACAGTTTTTACAGTGAAGTAGAAATTGGCATTAAATTGCATAATATTTTGCCACCAATACTTCTTGCTTAGTTGCATTCATTTAAAACCATGATTCATCTTCAAATTTTGTGGTTTGGATGTTTTGATTTAATGGTTCCTAAGCTTGTGTTTGAAGCTACAGGGAGGAGGTTATTCCTTACCTGTAAAACTGGGAGAAGAAAGTGTAGTGGTGGCACGTTCGGTTCTCATTTTTTGTGGACAAGTGAAGGCTGGAGACCATTTTACATGTTTTACCCTACTGTAAGCGTACAGTAGTTTTTTGGTTTTAGAAATGGGTGATCAGCTATGCTACTTGCAAAGCCTGTCAAGACCCAGTACTTGCTGAGTCAGTTCTCCCCTCCTCTGTGGGTGCTAATGTAGAATGAGATCAGGGTGCTATTTGTCTATAAAGAATCGACTTACTCATAGCCAGCCTGCTAGATCCAGCTGTGGATCAGAGTCCTAAAAATGAAAGCTTTCATGATTTCTGTCAGCTACTGAGGAGATAGCTCTCTGAGGAACTCCCCAGCTCCACTCTTGAAACAAGATGCTGCCTGTCAAATATCAAATTGGTTTAGAAACTGTGAGGAAAAGTGTTCTTATTCCTTGTGAAGAGGAAAAAGGATCTTGCACTTGTTAGGTCTTTTTGTAACTAGTGTGCATGTTGATTATACTGGCTTGATTACTGAATTTTTTGTGTTGTCTCTTCAAAAAATGAATCCAAGTCTAATTATGACCAGCTGGTTTACCAAATGGCAGATTTCTTTATAGATCTGTCATCTTGAATAATTTTCTGTTGTTTCTGTCTGCTTTAACTCATCTATTCTATGTTAAGTAAATAGGACGCATTTGCAATTATTCATTTTTAGAAAAATAATGTGGAATTATAATGCTTAAAGTAAAAGTTCCAATTACCACTGGCCCAATATTATCTCCCACTTTTATTCTAACTCCTCTGACTTGCTCAGAATTCATACTTTGTATACTGTCGGAATTCTTAAATTGCTCTCTATGAAAACAAAATTAAACCAACTATTAAAACAAAAACAATTTTCTGAAATTGTGGACATGATACTGGGTTTTATTTTGATGGTTCTTGACCATGTCCTTTTGTCCTTTATGTTTATTATATTTGCAATTTACGAAGTATTCTTTTAACTTCCTTTGCAGTGCTACACTGTCAGGTCTGTTTCAATGTTCCTTTTTTGGCTTTGGGCATTGGTTGCAGTAAACATTTTATTGTTAAGGAATGGAGGTAAACAGCCCGATTTTAGTGGAGTCTTTCTTATGGTTAGTTTCAAGATGACATCACATTTATTTGGTGTTTATTGTATCTTCATTCTTGTGGTCCGTGTACATGTAGAACTGATCTAAGTTCTAACTGATCTAATGCATCAGATCAGCATCAGATAAATTTTTTCTAATTAGTATGAGCTGAGTCTTTAAGCAATTGCAAAAAGCAGTCTGTTCACAGGCATGGTAACAAAGACTTGGATTTTTCAAATACAGATTTCCTTTAGAACACTGTAACAGAGCTTGTGCAGCTTTCTGGATCTTGAATGCAATAAATCTTTTGATGTTTTATGTTAATGTTCTCAAAAGCAACTAGGAAAAAACTTACTTAGATTAATGTACATCAATTTGTGAGCTCTACTTAATCACTAATGAGGTGCAAAACTTCCCATCTCAGGAGTGTCTCTACTGTGATGAGGTGTGAAGAGGCACCGATTATGAATGAAGTGTGGATTATTTTATTTTGAGTGTATTGATTTGGACTAAGCTTCTTGAAATGTGAAAAAGGGGTTGGAAACTTCTTTAGGGTTGGTTCAGTGTCAAATTGGTGTTTGTTAAATGGGATTCTGCAAGGCTTCATTTTGTATCTGTTCATGTTCAGTGTTTTTATTAATAATTCTGATGAAGGAGTTAAATATACAGTGTTAAAATTTGCAGACGGTGCAATACTGGAAGGGTTGGCAGGAAGGTGGAGCACAGAACAGAGTCTCAACAAATGGGAGAAGGAGCCTGCAGTAAGGTGTGATTCAAGGTCAAATATAAGACAACTACATTTACATAGGAAGAATCTGCAGGGGCGTGTGACTGGTTAAGCTGCAATTTTATAGAAGGGAACTGGCAGCT